TGAGTAATTACTATATACTGAACTCCCACTGATGCATTTACTTAAACATTTCTTGTATGGCTGTGGGTACTTTTATGAGACTAAGCCAGGAAGAAAGTTTTCTACACTAACAGGAAAACAAAGTAGTGGTTGGATAAAAATATAAGAAAAGTTTGCAGTAATTGAACATATCTTCACCAAAGTTCAGAGCTGTGCTGCTCAACCTGTTTTAGGAGTATATGGCAGGGGGCTGGTTCCCAATCCAGCTGAGAGATAAGAATAGATCATACTGCTGTCAATCAGAGGGGCTCACTCTGCCAGTAATTATTATCATCTACCGCTATCAAAATCTATGTTGGTCCATTTGTTCATTCATTCAGCATTTATTTAACAAAAAATGTAGTTTCTACTATGTCTCAGGCACTATGCTAAACATAAGGGATATAGTGGTGAACAAGACAGACAAAGTTCCTGTCCTTAAAGATCTTGTAATAGAGGAAAAAACCGGCAGTAAACAAACCAATATGTAAGATAAGTTAGTAAGCTGATTAGTACCAGAGAAGACACAACAAGAGTGATATGGTACACAGTAACTTAGAAGAGGTAATTAATATGTAGGATGGAAAGGCATGGTTTTTCTAAGAGGATGTCATTAAACCTTAAATGGATAACATGAAGCCAACTCTTGAAGAAGTCAGGAGAAGTGCATTCTAAGAGGAAAGGATAAGTGCAGAGTCCTTAAAATGGGAAAGGCTTGGCGCATTCAATGAAACACAAGGCCAGTGTGGCTAGTGGGTAAGAAGTTGGTGCACACAAGGGCTAGATTAAAAAGGGCCTCTGGGTCTAAGTAAGAAATGTGGATTTTGTAGGGGAGGTAGGAATAATAAGTTAAAGATAAGTACCCTACCATCCTGGGAAGACTAAAATATTCATCTTCCCATATCCCTACTGAGAATCATCATCTGGATCTTTGTTACTCAAACCGCAGTTTAAAGACCAGCAGCATTAATTTTGGCATCAAGTGGGAGTTGTTTAGAAATTGAAAACTGGGCTCCATTTTGATCCTTCTGAATCTGAATCTGCATTTTAACCAGTGATTAGCATACGTATTATAGGTGGAGAAAATTCATATAAAGTGCTGCTCTGAAAAGTATCTGCAACTCCTGGTGAACCGTGGGCTCTAATGCAGATAACCTAAAGTTGGCTTGAGAGTGAATTAAAAGAAAAAAATTTACGTTGTTCTTCAGAGAATACAAATTCTAGATATTTCCAATGTTTTAACAAAAGGAGTTAAATATAATCGTAGACCTAAACATATGAAAGCAAAAAAGAATTTTTTTGAAAAATCATAAAAGATGTTGCTAATCACGTATTTGGTATGGCTACTTTAGAGACATGATGTTCTCTAATGTAAAGATATTTACATGACAGCAAAGCAAACTCCATTTTTCAACTAGAAGAGTTGATTGATTACCCATCTCTTGCCAATTCCTATCTATTAACTAAGTAAAGCCCATCTCAAAAATATCTTTAATGACTGAGTCCACGCCTTATTCTAATTGCTTAGTTTCTCATACCTTATATTCTCAAATGTTTATATCTTTTAATATCCTTCTTTTAACTTTTCAACTTTTTATTTAAAAAATTTCTAAACTACAGAAAAGATGAAAAAATAGTACAGTGAACATCCCTGTACTCTTCACCCAGATTCACTAATTATTAACATTTTGTCACTTTTGTTTATCTTTTTTCTCTATGTATGCCCATACATACTCAATTTTTTCTGACCTATTTGAAAGCAAATAGTTGCCATTCATATTTAACCCCTAATTACCTCAGCATGTACTATTGTCTATGAACAAAGATGTTATCATTTTTGATCAAGGATCTGATCAGACCATACATTACATTTGGTTTCTATGTCTCTCTAGTCTACAGAAGCCTCCCTCCAACTTTTTTGGTTGTTATGATATTGACACTTTAGAATTCAGTTGTTCTGTAGAATATCCTACAACATTAATTTGTTTTTCAGGATTAGGTCCAAATCAACCATTTTGGTAGGGAACATTTTGGTTAAATATTTCAGTGAGATCACCACAAAGTGATGTTTTATTTTAACTGTTTTCATAGCCCTGTGTTTATGTTTTATGTTCTCAAGTAAATTTTAAATAAGTACCTTCAAGGACGTGGCCATGCTTTCTATTTCTTTGGTATTTACCCAAAAAATGTAGTACAACCTTTGTGTATATTACATACACAATAAATAAATGAAAAACTCAAAAGCAGAGTTGACAACTATTTCTAAGGATAGCAGAATACATATAACTATTATACATTGAGTGGTTTTATACCAGACTAAAAATATTTGGGCTTTGCCTCTAAAATTTTTGAGAGAAGTAATTAAGCAGATAAACAGTTTAGAACAATACCTAATACAATATGTACAAAAAATGTCTAGGAAAGCTGAGGCTAAAGGTAGATATCAAGCAGACTGAACTAAGATTGTAAGGTGAGGGAATAAAGAGGATGATCAGGTAACATATCTCAAAATATTTTTATGAGTAAACTGAGCTTTACATGGAAGCTTGAGATAACAGATTTAAGAAATATCTCATCTTTTAAGTTGTACTTGATTAGAAACTATTTCTTAGAGAAGAAAGAAGAGCAAAATAGTTCATTTAATTCTTATTTAAGCAGCTGACAGGCCAGGCGTCTGTAATCCCAGCACTTTGGGAGGCCGAGGTGGGCGGATCATCTGAGGTCAGGAGTTTGTGACCAGCCTGACTAACATGGTGAGACTCAGTCTCTACTAAAAATGCAAAAATTAGCTGGGTGTGCTGGCGCATGCCTGTAATCACAGCTACTTAGGAGGCTGAGGAAGGAGAATAGCTTGAACGTGGGAGGCGGAGTTTGCAGTGAGCTGAGATCGCACCACTGCACTCCAGCCTGGGCAACAAGAGCAAAACTCTGCCTCCAAAAATAAAAATAAAAGATTTTTTAAAAAAAGGTAGCTGAGAACAGTACACACAGACAACAAAACATGATATTAAAATAAAAGTGTTATATCAGATGGGGTTCTGATATAACATGAAATAATTTAAAAATTATTTCAAAACATACAGTGCAATTTTGAGAGTTTACATTTAGATGAAGCTTACTAGATTAAAAGTGAAGTAAACACGAAAACATGTCACATGAAAGAAAGGGAAGCAGTAAATATGACTTGTTTGAAGAACTGTGTCTACATAGAACAAGAGATCACAAAACTGGAGATAGGGTATATAAAGAACATTTGTTAAGTAAGCCATTCTTAATTAAGATCAGGTTTTGAACTACCAGCTGGTATTTTGAAGTATGTCAGCTAATGATTAAGACTATTCTTTTACTCTGCCCCATACAAACATTTTTTAAGTGTTGGTCATTCTGTAATCCAATTGCTTTTAAGATAGCATTTATGTTTCTCTCCTGCTTTTTATCCTATATATAACTAACAAGTTACTAAAAGAAAAACAGAAGTTTTATCTCATCCAAATGCAACTGGGAAAATATACTACATGATGCCTATAAATGTCATATGTGGTGAGCTCCTCCAGATTTACATTTCATGAAAATAATGGTTGATGTCATTGCCAGACATCTTGTAGTTACCAGGAAACTTTGTAATGCTGAACAAACAAATTAACATTATTTTTCTAAAACGTACTACTGAATAAATCTGAAATTATTATCTAAGAATGAATATATATTCCTTTTAAACCAAAGCATATTTTGAAAAGCGATAATGCCAAAAGATTTAAAACCCACTACACACTGTATAAAAACAGAATATTTAGGATACTTGCCCTTGAGATACACAATATTACATAATGAATAGTTTTTATGACACACATAGCTAAAAACAGCTCATGTTTCTTCCCATTTATAGAAGAGTTATTTGGTTTGGCCGACAGATGTGGAATTTTGATTCTATGAAAAACAGTACTCCAGGATCCTGCAAAGAGCCAAAAATTACATGGGCAGATGACATACCATATACCACTAGCCTTTATAAACAGCTCTCCAGCAAGAAAGCCAACCTTAGTCTCATGTGTCAATGTAATTCTCTTGTTTAAGTGTAAGGATTATAGTTATGCTAAATAGTGAGATAACAGTCAATTCTGTAACAAGTTCAAACACATAAATACCGTTATAACTACAGGACCATCACGAACACCTTTCTAATAAGCCTACTCCAATTTGGCATTTGATCCTAAGTAGTATTTTCAAACATTATCTTTCCTTCTCATGGAGTGGAATTCCCATGCCCTTCCATATTTATAGAGAGAACTTTATAATTGCAATCAAAACTCCAAGTGTGGGAGAAATGTATGCTACTACTATTAAAGAGATGAGCAAATTTTATTTCATAAGATAATTTCCTCTACTTTTCTTAAAGCCATTTCACAAAATTATCTGTTCATTTGTTTATCTAAAACTTCTTGAGAATTTAAAAGGTAAGATGTTGAAGAAGCCACAATCCCTGTTCTTGAGGATTTTATAGCTTTTATGTATACATAAATATACATAAACTATATATACATTTAAAAGCTATATATATAAACTCTCTCTGTATCTCTATATATATCCAGTAAAGAGGGACTGGTGACAAAATTGAGTACAAGTATCCATCAAATATTTCTCTGTCATAAGTTGAGACAATAATTTTTATTGCAGGGTATCATGCCAAAATTATATTTTTAAAAGGATACTACGCTGAGGAACATCAATTTTCTCCTCAAAAATTCAAGCTATTCATTAATCATTTACTTCACAAATATTTGAGTACATACTATATGCAAGGAAATGTGTCAAATACTGTTGAGTAAAATTATACAAAAGTTAGCTGGCCCTCTCCCCTAAAAGGCTTATGATCCATTGAGATCAGAACTCACATCCCTTTAAAATACTTTATCCCCTTGAGCTAGAAAATTTGAGTGAGGAAGTTTTAGAAAACATTTGGGCATTCCTTAAGTGGTAATTACCTGATCTTGCAATGACATCACTGGATTATTTTTGGTAGTGTTGATATGAAGAACATGGTATTTATTCTTTGCACACAGGTCATAGGCGATATTGGTAAATGAAGTGCTTGCAGTTTTGGGAACTCTGTTATAAATGATCACCATATCCTCTTCCTCATCTAAAGTGGCATCTTGCCGAGGGCCATCCATTGTATGTCGCTGCTCAATTTCTCGGACTTCATGTCTTGCAATAGCCCTTTCTGCAAAGAAAAACAGATACAAACTAAGTTCTTAAGGACACTATAAGGAAGTTATGAACACTGAACTTTGAACCATGATTAGAAAAGATACAAAAAAGAAAACAAAAAACAAAAGCAAAGAACCAAGGCATGTGGAAAACATGGGTAAATTGCTTGGGTTTCTAAGAGGATCTAGTTGATTCTAAAACAGCTGTACAGCCTGGAACATAATCTTCCTATTCAAGAACTGGGTAAGAGCTGTTTAAGAAATGTTTTGAGGACCAAAGCTGCAGAATTCCTTATGAAGGATAATACATATGCATATCAAGAACAAAGGAATAAAGAGTCAACAAGTGTAGAATAGCACAGACCACAGAATACTTTAGTGTAGTTCAAAAGTCACTTTATATTCTAATAGAATTCCTACAGCCTAAATTAATTCTCACACAAAGATTGCGTGGAATACTAAACTTCACAGTAAAAAAATGAACTTAGAATTACTTATAAGTTAAGAAAAGGTTTTGAAATTTATTACCCAATTTAGTTATTCTCTGGTTTATAAAAATGTAGCGGTGCAGTGATTATAAATGCTTATATGACTTAACAAGAGTAGAAACAATACTACCACAAATCCTTTTTCTTTTCGGTGTTGCATTAGAAACTATGTTTATCACATGGCTATGCTTTTCCCTTAAATTTCATGGTTCCTCTAAAATCACCTATCTACTATGTGGTTTCCAAAGCAATTACATTTTGCTTCCTAGTATTCTCTATTTAATGCAAACTTCAGTTTCAAATATATATATATCTCTGTATATTCAAATATCTATATATTCTAATATATATTCAAATATATATATATTTTCATATACATATATATGAATAAAGATGCAAGAAAAGGAGAGGAAAGAAGGAAATGAGGAGCATGAAATCTCTAGCAAGACTGCAAATACTCTGCACAGGAGTAGTTACACATACAGCATGTACTCTCTTAACCCCCAAGTCTTTGTGCAAGCTATCTTACCTATCTTGAACAGTCTTCCATTTCCCCACCCAACCTTTACATTTCAACTCAGTCGCTACCCAGGGAAGCATCTGATAGCTCTGACTAGAACAAATCATCTGTTTCCCTCCAGCTTTTTTTTCTTCGGAGATGGAGTCTCGCTTTGTCACCCAGGCTGGAGTGCTGTGGTGTGACCTCGGCTCACTGCAACCTCTGCCTCCTGGGTTCAAGCAATTCTCTGCCTCAGCCTACTGAGTAGCTGGAATTACAGGTGCCCGCCACCACACCCAGCTAATTTTTGTATTTTTAGTAGAGACACGGTTTCACCATCTTGGCCAGGCTGGTCTCGAACTCCTGATCTCGTGATCCACCCACCTCAGCCTCCCAAAGTGCTGGGATTACAGGCATAAGCCACCACGCCTGGCCATCTTTTAAAAAATATACATGCACCTATCTTATACTACATGTCTCATTATATTTATCATAATTGCAGTTTTACATTGCATGTGTGGTTATTAGTGTCCCCTATGATGCTGACAACTTAATAAAGTAAGATGAAAAGCAATGTGGTATAATTACAGCAACAAGTGCAGACTTCAAATATTGCCAGAGCATGCATCTTTGATTTTGGTTGAAAAGACATGGACACCATGTTACATAGAGTACACTCTGAGCTGAGGATTTGCATTCAAAAAACCTGAATTAAAAATTCCAGGCCTGGCCGGGCGCGGTGGCTCAAGCCTGTAATCCCAGCACTTTGGGAGGCCGAGACGGGCGGATCACGAGGTCAGGAGATCGAGACCATCCTGGCTAACACGGTGAAACCCCGTCTCTACTAAAAAAATACAAAAAACTAGCCGGGCGAGGTAGCGGGCGCCTGTAGTCCCAGCTACTCAGGAGGCTGAGGCAGGAGAATGGCGTGAACCCGGGAGGCGGAGCTTGCAGTGAGCGGAGATCGCGCCACTGCACTCCAGCCTGGGCGACAGAGCAAGACTCCGTCTCAAAAAAAAAAAAAAAAAAAAAAAAAAAAAAAAAATTCCAGGCCTGCTGCTTACTAGTAGTGGGCTTTCCAAAAAAGAAGTACATATATGAGAGATAGATATATATATGTGTTATGTATTTATATGCAAATATACATACTCTTTTATTCTGGGGGGAGGTGTGAACTGAAAATGGGGAGAGAAAAAGATAATGAGCTTAATATTGAATACATTGTTGGACAGTCTGGGTCATCCAGGAGATATAAGATCATTGGGCATACAGGTGTACAGTTGAGAATAAAGGTTCAAATAGCAGACAGACAGCTGCCTAGACAATATATAGTATGTAGCACAGACAGAGACCCTAGGATAGAATCTTAGATAATACCAATATTTAAAAGGCAAATAGAAAAAGATAATCCATAAAAGAAACTAAGAATAAGAAAACTTTAAGGAAGCACATACCATAGTATTTTTCAAATCAACAGTGCTTTATAAATAAACCTACAAATCAAGGTAACATACTATAAGCATCCATACAAGATTTGGAAGTTGTCTTAGATTAAATTCAACTAATTTTTACTGAGAACCTATGAACATTATTGTTGTTATTATTATTAGAGATAGGGTCTCACTCTGTTGCCCAGACTGGAGTGCAGTGGTGTGACCACGGCTCACTGCAGCCTCGACCTCCCCAGGCTTAGGTTATTCTCCCACATCAGCCTCCCAAGTAGCTGGGACTGCAGGTGCACATGATCACATTTGGCTAATTTTTGTATTTCTTGTAGAGATGGGGTTTCACCATGTTGCCCAGGCTGGTCTTGAACTCCCAGTCTCAAGTGATCCTCCCTCCTCAGCCTCCCAAAGTGTTGGGATTATACGTGTGATCCACTGTACCTGGCCTGAACATTATTATATTCAACAATTTTAAAGGAACCGTATGTTCTAAACAACTGCCGCAGCTGTTTAGAAGTTCAAACAGTTCAAAACTATTATGGTAATGTTATGTCCAAACACCCTCCCCTTTTCTACTAAGGGAAATACAACAGGACTGTTGGCATTCAAGTGCTGACAGAAATGTGAGAGGTTTCTTCCAGCAACACAGATATATGTGAAATCACCTTTAAAAGATTCACCTACTCACACAAGTAGGAGTTTGCGCTAAAGAAAAAAAAAGATTCACTTACAATCAACAATGCTGAATTTACTCATACTAGTTTTTTCTTCAAATCAAATACTTGGAAAAAAAGATTGTTTTGTGTTATTTCATAAGCAGGTATTCATTTTATCTATAAAAAAACATGAAACAAACTGCAAAACTGTTTTATAATTACCTCATCAACTTTGCTACACCTCTGGCAGGGTCATGAAACAAACATGTTTTCAAAAAGTAATTATTATTCTTGGTTCATTATGTCTATTAAATTATATAAACTATATTTCACACAATTTTAGAAATGTCTTAAATTATGAAAAGGTAGAAATATTGGAATCACTACTTTCCTCATTCGAATAGTATTTATATGCATTTTCTATTTCTCAAGTGTTTTTATTTTGCTTAAATATATAGAACAATTATTAATAGAATGTTAGGCCTAACACTACATAAAAAGGTAAAAATTGTATGGAAAATTAAGAACAATTTTGTTAGTAATATTAAACCATATCTCAGTTGAATAGCAGTAACTATTATTGATGATAAATTACTATCTTTCTTCTCCTGTGACAGTACTTAAAATCAGTAAGGGTGTTTTCAATATGGTCATTTTCTTTATTTACTAAGTCAGTATTAGACAGTTATAATTTTTTTTTTTTTAGCAAAGATGCTCTGCATCTGGTTAGTACAGCCTCTTCTGAGGCTTTCTTAAATCGCTGAAGAAAGTTTATTAGTTACGTCACATTTGTAGTGCACTTAGAATGTAGGCAGCATAATCAAAATACTTAGGATACATTTTGACGGAATGTTTTCTTCATGTTTGAGTAATAAATTGCAGTTCACCCTTGAACAACATGGATTTAGAACTGCACAGGTCCAATACGTGAATTTTTTTTTTCAATAAAATTTACACTGAGTGTGCCTGCTTCTCCTGCCTCCTACCTCCTTTATCTCTTCTGCCTCTGGCACCCATGAGACAGCAAGACTAGGACCACCTCTTCCTCCTCAGCCTGCTCAATGTGAAGATGACAAAGATGAAGATGTTTATGATAATCTATTTCCACTTAACAAATAGAAAACATATTTTCTCAGAGCCTGGCATGGTGGAATGCACCAGTAGTCCCAGCTACTGCTACTCAGAAATTGAGGTAGAAGGATTACTTGAGCCCAGGAGTTTGAGATAAGCCTGGGCAACATAGCTAGACCCCCATCTCTTAAAAAATTTTTTTAATTAAAAAAATACGTATTTTATATTTCCTGTATGTTAAATAACATTTTCTTTTCTCTAGTTTACTTTATTGTAAGAATACAGTATATAGCGCTGGGCGCGGTGGCTCACGCCTTAATCCCAGCACTTTGGGAGGCTGAGGTGGGCAGATCACGAGGTCAGGATATTGAGACCATCCTGGCGAATATGGTAAAACCCTGTCTCTATTAAAAATACAAAAAAAAAAAAAAATTAGCCGGGCATGGTGGCAGACACCTGTCGTCCCAGCTACTCAGGAGACTGAGGCAGGAGAATGGCGTGAACCCAGGAGGCAGAGCTTGCAGTGAGCGGAGATCATGCCACTGCACTCCAGCCTGGGTTACAGAGCGAAACCCCGTCTCCAAAAAAAAAAAAGAAAAAGAAAAAGAAAATAGTATATAGCATTACAAGAATACAGCATGTAATATGCCAATATACCAATAACATAAACATCAACTGTTTATGTTATCAGTAAGGCTTCTGACCAACAGTAGCCATTGATAGTTAAGTTTAAAGGTGTTGGGAAGTCCTTTGAAAACCGGCACAAGACAAGGATGCCCTCTCTCACCACTCCTATTCAACACAGTATTGGAAGTTCTGGCCAGGACAATCAGGCAAGAGAAATAAATAAAGGGT